CCCTTGGTTCCTTCTCGGTAAGCCTTTCATCTTACAAAGGTGGGATCCGAAATTTCAACCTAAAAGAGACGAGTCTGCGGCTATCCCGCTGTGGATTAAAATTCTCAACCTTCCCCTTGTCCTTTGGACCCCTTCAGGTATTTCTAAAATTGCGAGTTTTATTGGTATTCCCCTCTATGTCGATGCTCTCACGGCGAAAAGGACTAGGCTCACTTTTGCGAGAGTCTGTGTGGAGGTGGATAAAAACTCGGTTTTAGCAGATGAGATTCCTCTGGAAATTGATGGTATCGATATGACCTTGAAGGTTATTTACGACTGGAAACCGACGAGGTGTGAAGGCTGTGGATCCCTTATTCACTCTTTTGCCTTGTGCCCAAAAAACCATGATCCTAAACCTTCTATCCCTCAGAAGCCGCCTTCTAGAGGAAGAAGTAAAAGCAAGGCACCCACCTCGCGTGCTGATAGCGCTGCTAGAGCTAAAGAAGTTAATTCCTCGATACCTTCATTAGCTGTTCAACCTTTCCTTCTCCCAAGTTCCGAGCCGTCTAGCACTCAGCTCCCCGCTGAAGTGGTTCCGGGTAAGAACATTATCCTGCCAAATCTAAATCTTCCCCAAGCTGACTCTCTTTCAGCTAACCACTCTCTTCCCAATACTCTCTTGATGCCTCCCCAAGTCCTCTTGGCCAACAGTTTTCAAGCTCTTCCGATTGACACTGCTGTCATTCCTGATGATGACCCCACTGAAGATGAACAATTTGAAGAGGAGCTCTCTTCCTCTTCGAGAACTGAGGTTGTGATTTCCTCGAAGCTTTCGAATCATAAAGCCTCCTCTTCCTCCTCTAAAGCTACTTCCCCTCCTAAAAAAGCCAAAACCAAATCGACCAAGAAGGAAACTCCACAAATAATCCATGTCCCTTCCTCCTATTGGTGCTTGGAACGTTAGAGGGTTTAACAAACCGGGCAAAGTGAAGATGTGCAAAGACCTTATCTCTATGTTTAATCTGAAGTTGATTTGTATTTTAGAAGCTAAAATTAATCCTGATGCTCTTGCTGACGCTTGGTTTAATTTTTCTCATTCGCTGTTTGATAATGAGAATTGCTGTCATAATTTTAGTCTTTCCTCTCCTGGCCGCATCTGGGTAAAATGGGATTCCTCTTCTTTACTCTTTAATCCCACCTTTATCTCTTCACAGATCATTCATGGTTCTATAAATACGGGTTGGTTGCCCCCTTTTCATTTAACGATTATTTATGCTTCTAATTCTATTGAGGAAAGGAAGGAGTTACGAAAAAAAAATTGGAGCTCCTCCAATTATTTGTCTAACTGCATTTTGGAACTTAATAATCATCAAGCTCTTTGCTTAGATTATATTCAAAGGGATCCTATGAGCATGGAATTGAATTACAGACTTAAGAATATTAATGAGCAGCTTGCTTCTGCCCAAGTTGCTTGGTCTTCCTGGATCTCTCAAAGAGCTAAGGCTTACTGGCTCTCCCAAGGGGAGGATGATCTTGGCTTTCTATTTGCCAAGATTAGAGCTAGGAATAATAGAAACATGATTAATGAACTTGCCTCTCCTTCTGGTCTTCTTACCACGCACTCTGAGATTGCTATGGCTCTTGTAGATCATTTTCAATCTCTCTTCAATGCTCCGGCACCTTCTCTTGAGAACTCTTACAACATCCCTGCAGGCAATACTATTCCTTCCCATGATTTGGCTTCTTTAACTACCCCAATTACCAATGATGAAATCAAAAAGGTGGTGTTTGGGGGGGGGGGGTTGCTTCCTCTACTCCTGGCCCGGATGGATTTTCTTTTGCTTTTTATCAGAAAACTTGACTTATTTTTGGATTCAAGCTCTGCTCTGCTGTTAAGCATTTCTTCTCCACTGGGCTTATGCCTAGAGGGGCCAAATCTACTGTCATCACTCTCATTCCTAAGGGTACTCACTCTAACTCTATCTCTGATTATCATCCTATTTCTTTATGTAATGTTTTTTACAAGATTGTTGCCAAGATCATTGCTAATAGAATGAAGCCCATCTTACCCTTAATCATTAACAAAAGCCAATCTGGTTTTGTTGCTAAGAGAAGCTCTACAGATTACATCATCCTTGCCTCTGAGATTCTCAGGGATTTTAAAAGTAACAGGGGTTCCTTCTATGCTAAATTAGATGTGAAAAAAGCTTTTGACTCAGTCTCTCGCTCCTTCCTGTTTCATAGACTCCTTCAAAAAGGTTTCCCTATCACCTTTGTTAAGTGGATTAAGGGGTGCATTTCTGATGTTCATTTCTCTGTCTCTGTTAATGGGGTGTTGGAAGGCTTCTTTAACTCTACTTCGGGGCTGAGGCAGGGATGTCCTTTATCTCCTCTCTTATTATGTATTGCCATGGATGCTCTCTCCTCCTCTCTGAAAAATAATCAAGTCTCCCATTTTCAAGGTATTAGCAATAATAGATGTAACTTGAGCCACCTGATGTATGCTGATGATCTTTTGGTTTTTGGGGAGGCCTCCAGGGGTAATACTCTTGCTCTTAATGATACTCTGCAGTATTTCTCTAAGGCTACGGGCCTCTTTATCAACACCAATAAGAGCACTATGTTATTTTCCAAGAATCTCAATGCAAGCTTTGCTTCTTCTCTGGCTGGGTGCCTTGGCATTACTAAAGTGGTTGAGTTCATCACATATTTAGGCTTGCCTATTTCTGCTGGCAGACTTAAACTCTCTCATTTTCAACCTCTGCTCGATAAAATTGCTGTGCTTTTAGATGGTTGGAAGGTTAAATTCCTCTCTTTTGCGGGTAGAGTGCAGTTTTTAAAGTTTACAATTTATAATACAATTGCTTACTAGATCCGTGGAAGTATTATACCTAAAGCTTGTTGCAAATCTATTAGTAAAATGTGTGCCAAATTTCTGTTTTTTGGCAACATAAAAGACAAGAAATTACATCTTATTTCTTGGAATACTGTGGCTGTTCCTAAATGCAAGGGTGGTCTTGGCTTGCCCAGTTTTGATTCCCTCTACCACAACTTGGCATGCTCGTTCCTTTTTAGGATGTATAATACGGACAATTTATTGGGTTTTTGGTTTAGGGAGAAGTTTTGCTCTCCCTGGAAACCTTCCCCCCCTTATGCTTCCAAATTTTGGAAAATGTGCTGTCTTAAAGCTGCTGAAATCAGGGGATCCATTACCTTGGCTGTGCATTGCAATAGTGATTTTTCCTTTTTTGGGACCCGTGGTGTAACAAAAAAGCCATTTCTGAGGCTTCCTGTCCTTACAGTTTCTCCAATTTGAAGCTTTCTGATGTTACTACTCTAAATTCTTGGAATTTGCCGATGGGCCTGCCTGTGGATATTGTTTCTAAGATCATGTTGGTGGTTTTTGGTTCTTTGCCTCAGAACATTAACTGGGATGGAGTGGTCTATCCTGCTCCTCAGATTTTCTCTAAGGTTTTTTTTCTATCATCTGGATGATGTTGGTTGGGCTAAATTCATTTGGCATAAGGGGTATGCGCTGAGATATGCGTCCTATGCCTGGATGGCTATTCATAGAAAGCTTAAAACTACTGATCTCCTAATTTTTAGAGGAATTCCGGTTTCCTCTTCTTGCTCCTTCTGTGCTTCTAACCGGGAAAGCCATTCTCATTTGTATTTTGAATGTGATTTTTCTTTTAGGATCTTTACCACCCTTTTGCCTTCTTTGGGGAATTTTTATCTGAGGCCCAACCTTTATCAGGTTTACAAATTCTTGAGCAATGTTAGGGTGTTTAGCAGTTTTGACTCTCATTTCTGCTATCTTACTATCTATGTGATTGTTTACTGGATTTGGAGAGAACGTAATGGCAGGAGATTTTCCGCTTTGAGGAAAAGTCATGCTGAGCTGTTGGCAGTGATTATTCATGCTATTTGAGCAAAAGCTATTAAGTGGAAGCATTATGATAAGCTCAAAGTTAAATTCAAAGAGAATCTGGAATGAGGTTGTGTTTTTCTGTCATGGTTGGCCCATTGGTGTTGTTTGTTGATTTTGTGCTGGTTACTGCCGAGACCCTCTGTCCCTTCGATGTGCCTCTATTGTGCTGGCTGGACGATGATGAAGCTCCCGCTTGATAGACCCTTGGACGGCCTTTGAGCAACCAGGGCTCTATCTAACCTCTTTTATTATTTCCCGAGTCCAGTCTGGCTTGCCTGGGAGCTGGGTTTTGCTATCTTTTTGTGCAGGTTTGGGATTTCTGGAGCTGACAACGTGAACCTGGGACCTTGCTTAAAGCTTGCTGTTGGCGGATTTGGCCTGCTTGGATTTTTGGATTCAAGATTTTTGTTCTTACTACCTTTTTGGCTCTTTAATTGTTTTGTTGAAAAGTTAAGGGTGGTATAGTTGGGGTTTTTTATCATTTTGTCCTTCATAAGATTTTGTTGTTCTTATGTTGGAGTTTTACTTGTATTCTCTTTTACTTGTAACCTTCTCTTTATAGTTATATGGGATTTGGCCCCAAAATTTCCAAAAAAAAAAAAACCATAAAAAATGGAAATTATATAGATAGAAAATTAATGTGAATTTTATTAGGTCTTCCTAAATAATAATTTCAATTTATAAATATCCATCTAATTTATGTAAAACATATAACTATTTTTATTTTGAAAGTTTGAATTTTTTTTTATTTTCATTTCTTCCTTCAAAAGCACGTAAAAGTGAACTACTATTTACATTGGAAAGTGAAACTGTTTTATTAATTTATAACATTGGAAAGAATGTCCTCCCTGCATTACGTACTTATTTATTGTGATAAAAAAATGATTATAAGATTTTCTCACTGCATTACGTACTTAATTTATTTTGATAATTAAAAAGGATTGTAAAAGATTGTCAAGAATGGGATTCGAACCCATGCCCTTTCGGACCAGTACCTGAAACTGGCGCCTTAGACCAACTCGGCCATCTTGACCCACTGTCATATTTTTGCATAGCTGGTTATTTATCTGTTAAAAACATATTCCCTCAAGTACGAGCGCGCCATAGTGCTTGACCGAAGATCGAGGGATTCATTCAAAGGAGATTCTGACATAATGGCTCGAGTTAAGTGAACTCCGCAATCCAAAGTCCCAGCGGCGCTCAAGAACTAATGCCTCCGTTGCAATCCAGCTCCTCATCAACTTGCCCCAGGCTTCCAGCCAACTTCAAGACGGCGTCCATGTGCTCGACCAAATTCCCCACCAAAATCCCACAGCTTAAAACGTTTCGATGTTCAGCTTCACTTACATCGCTTTCACTCCATCCTGAAGGTTTGATTTGCATCCCTGATTTATGAGTATTTTTTTCTCCGCAGGCTTGAGGTTTTGATCTGTTTGCTTTTCTTTTGTGTGTGTAATCCGGTTCCCACCAATTGGATGTGGTATTAAATGTCTCTATGAAATCACATTTGAGAAAGTTAGAATATTTTTGGCGGTAAAGTGAGAGTGTTTAGTATCTTAAATTTGTACGAAGATTCAGCATATAGACTGATAAAAGAATAGTTGCAAGAGACATTAGAAAATTTAATTGAAAAACTAAAAAAGGTAAAAAAAATATTGGGCTTGGCTCAGTTGAAATAATTATATCTATGTATGTTGTCGATTAGAAAATATGCAGTTCTTTATGATTGAGGAAGGCGTTGATGACACTAATTTTAAAACATTAATTCGGTAGTAAAAGCTATAACTATAAGGTCTTGAAGTATTGGAGTTTTCTTTAAGAGATGGTTTACCATATGTTCGATCATTCTTCTTTGAATATAGGTGACCAGAGGCTCTGACTTTATAGGCGATGACGTGTGTCGATGTTATTGGCGACTACATATGATCGACTAAGTCAATAGGCATGAGTGTTGCAGTCAATGACATGTATAGGCCTTATAGGCGATGATGTGTATAGATGTTGTTGACGATGGTGGGCGATGAAGTTGGAGGGCATTGGTGTAGTTGAGTGATGAAGATATTTTTCTCATACAACTCGAAGAAAGAACAACATTGTTTAATGCCTTGGTCTTCCAAATATCTACCGTGATAACCATCAAACCTTAAGGTGATAGACTTACTACTATAAATTCTTTTATTAAACAAGGGCAAAAGTTTTCTTCAAAAGCCATTCTATGATGCTACTACTAAAAAGAAAAAAAATTCATCAAAGAAAAAATACTGGAAATTACATGAAAAGCCCCAATTTTGGTGGAAACAGAGAAGGCCACGTAAAAGATTAATTGAAGTCAAAAGTACTATAAATTATCTTGTTGAATTCTTTCCCATAAATTGCTTTCTCTTAAAAATTTCTCCAAAAATCTTCTAATGCATTGCCCATGTCTACATCCATAAGTTGATCCTAGCGCTCTCAACTGTACATTTATTGGATACTGTTCTAATAAAAAAGGATACACGTGTCATTATCTTACCAGACAAAAAATTCTTACTTCAAAAGCTATCACCTTTAATGAGGTGTGAAGTTTTTTCAATCAATCTCATCTTCAGAGGGAGAACTCTCAATTAGAAGATAAATTTGATAAAACCTTATCTTAACATTATTATAATACAAACTCTATTGTACCCCTTCAAATCTATACATGAAGGAATTGACTCGATCAAAATCTCTAGCAAGCACAAGACTAGGAATTATTATCAGGTAATAATGATCAACTTATTAGTACACAATATACTTTATATCCCATCTTCTATTATGTATCTTTTAAAAAAAAAAGTATGCTAAAAAATCTTAAGACTTTCTTAGAAATTTTAGCTTTAATTGATTACAATACTCAAACTCTATTCGAGACACTTGAAAATAAAAATTGTAAGGATGTAATGAAATAAGAGATAATGCTCTGATTTTTTCTTTTCACTTGGGAGATCATTGAACTATCAAAAGGAAAGAAAATTATAAAATAATAATAATTTTCTTCTATAAAATATAAAGCAGATGAAAGCTTGGAATGATATAAAGCGAGATTGGTAGCCAAAAGATATACTCAATTCTATGAAATTGACTACCAAAAAATTTTCCCCTACTATGAAAATAAATGCAATTCACATTTTAACTTATCTTACAATCAATCATACATGGTCCATGCATCAATATGATATAATCAATGCTTTACTATATTAGAATATTAAAGAAGAAGTCTATATAAATCCACTACCTAGATTTAGTAGTTCTTTCACAAATAATAAAGTGTGTAAATTAAAAAAAGTTTTTTATAGACTTAAATAACTTTGAGAGAATAATTTCAAAGATTTACAAAATTCTTGAATGAAGTTGGATGCAAACAAAGATAAGAAGATCATATCATCTTCATGAAACACTCCAATGATGATAAAATCTTTATTTTCATAATATATGTTGAAAATATAATTAATTTAAGTGGTGACAAAAGAGAAGAATATATACTAGAAAAAAGATTGATGAAAAATTTGAGATAAAAAATTTGGGCAAACTCAAATGCTACTTGGGAATAGAAGTTGTTCAATTCAAATAATGAATGGGCAAATGACTACAGTACAACGCCATGCCACCGATCCGTAACATCCCTACGAGCGGACAGAAGACGTGTATGAGCATCCAAATGGAACGCTGCATTCAAATGGCGGTCGCCCGCATAGCTGACCGACATCAAAATATTCCAAAAATGCCCCCTCACATATACTGTAATATGTATGCATATAGGCACACCAAAATGCACGTATAACTGTAAAACCCGCATGGGCCCCGACGAGCATTTTGTAAGAACACACGTAACGTCTAGGGATGCTGCGCTGGTTAATAAATTTGAACCCGATCCTCCTAAGCAGATAAATAGGAGTCGTCAAGGTTCAACAAATAATTATAAAATGCCCCCACACAACCCGTATGGGCCCTAACGAGCGTGTCATGGGTATACATGTGATATTTAGGGATGCTGCACTGGTCAATAAATGAACATAGTTTGAACCCAATTCTTCTATAAGGATATATAGGAGTTGACATGGCTCGAACTATCAAATAGATATATGGTCAAGGTGTCAATCAGAATATCTATTTTATACATTCGTATAAGGCCTTCAAGGCATATGAATAGAGAAATTCATCAACAAAGACATAAGGCCTATAAAATCGGATCCTCTGTTGACAAACTAACAGAGTCGACAAGGTTCAATGAACAAAATGAAATTCTTGAAATGACCCTAAACACTGCGATTATGGCCGCGTTGAATGAAAATCTCAACCGAAGGAATTAACTCCGACCATTTCAAATGGCTCCAAACTTTCACAAAATTTAAATTCCTACAAAAATATAAATGACTTTAATGCCACCATGATGATGACCGTGTTGAATACAAATCTCAACCGGAGGGGTCTATTCCAAATAATTGAAAATGACACTCAATTCCCAAATGCCTATGAAATCCAAAACTCTAAAAGTACTCAAAATTCAAAATATTTAAAATTGAAATAATCCATCAAAACACTTAATACAAAATCCACCCACCCTTTGCAACAGTTTGCCGGGGTGGACAAATTGAAATTTACTTCAACTCACATAAAGCTAATGCCTAGTCAAAAATATTACTAGGATCTATTCTCAAATAATTTAGTGCTAATAAGGACGTGGTACGTGTCCTCTGACCGAGAGTTTTGCCGTCAAATAACACTGCAGGATAAACCATTATGACCTAGGGCCCTCTGAACTGAGTGGTTTTGTTGCCAAATATCACTACTAAATTACGGTTATGAACAAAATCAATACGTTCCTTAGTGGCATCAAATCCTTGAAATATGAATCAATATGATATGATCGATGGGGCATAAAGCCTTCTGTTAGCTAAGGTTGATTTAAAATTTTCCACTTAGACAAACATTCACCCCAAGTCTAAAAGGTACCTCTGGACGAAGCAACCTATGGCTGCCGACAATAATCCTTCTATAAGGTTGGGTTGACTACCTCCTTTAACTAAGTAGACCAGGGACCACGATGACCCGAGATGACGGAACCATGAGATATTGATCGAGCCAATCATCATCCATTTTAAGTGCAAGATGGTAAAATTTTCTATTTTAAATATTCAACTTCTAAGTATCTCAACCCATACTGCTACTATATGCATGATACTATGTATATATAGATACATTGTATATGATTGATGACTAACCTTAATCAAAAGTTCTTTCTCATTATCGGGCGGGACGTATCTGATTGACGACTAGCCTTAATCAAAAGTTCTCTCTCATTATCGGGAGGGGTAATTAACTATAGAGGCTTGCGCCTTTAGGAAACCAGAACTCATATCATAAAGTCCTCGCAAAATGAGGACAAAATCTCTGGGTAGAGTTTTATCTACAAACCCATCTATCTTCCCAAAATTTACCCCGGAACTTAATCCGTTAAAACTCCCCCGAGAAAAGCAGCAGGGGAGGCTGGGGCCGAATTTTTTGAGCCCACAATAGCATATAGTTCATCTTTTAACATTAGTAGTCAAATATCATTGAAAAATTTTATAACCTCCATTTTAAGCTTTTGTAGTAACCTTCATTTAGGACTTTATATTTGCCTCCCATTAAGAATTTGTGATGTCTAACAATCTTGAAAAATCAAAATCAAATTTAATCCACAATAGTTAATGAAAGACACCATACTTAACACATAGGCCACTTAATTACTATAATACCACCCCAAATAAAATAAGAAACAAAACAAATGTATATATAATTTTTAATTTACAAAAGGACCACAACCTCTAATACTATGTCAAAGAAGGGTCATGTAGGACATGGATGCCTAATGAGTTTCAATTTTTAAATTAGTACTATCAGATAATGATTATCAATGAGGAACGTCAAAGCTCTAGCCATGTTGAGCAATCTGATTCGATTAATGTCCTTACAAGAGGGGAGATCAAATGACTATGAAGACTGTTGTCAAATATCAGTGGCTAACTTAAGTTGAACATCACTCTTTGAATTGCATTATAGTTTGAATTGGTCGTTCTTCTTAGGAGGGGAGATTGGACAACCTAGAAGGCTGGCATTGCACGTTATTGGTTGATGTACATTGGACACACTCTTTAGTATGCGTTGATGACATTTGATGAGGAATGTTAGAAGTTAGGTGATGTTGAACAATCTGACTTAGTGGTTCTCCTTATAGGAGGGAATACTGGAAAACCCTGTGGTGGATGTCCATGGTTGATTGACATATATTGGGCATTATTTTTTTTGTGTGCTTTATGCAATGATTAAAAAGAAACGTCAAAGGTTGGGCGATGTTGGGTGTTTTGATTTGGTATTTCTCCTTATAGAATGGGACGTTTGAAAACCATGAAGCTGGGCATTGGACTTTGGTGCTTTAGAAGAGGTGGTCGAACAATAGGGAAGATGAGTGTTGTACATCGATGGTTGACAGAAGTGGATGTTAGCCATTTGTATGTGTCAGTTGACGGTCGAAGAGAAAAATTGGAGGATGTACAATTGGGCTATTTGACTCGATCTTTCTCTTTATGGAAGGGGTGATCAAACTATGTCTAACGTTAATAGTTAGTTAACGTCAAGTGATGGTGATGATGGGGGTCAATGTTGGGTGATGAATGGTATATGATTGTGGTGATGATGGGCGTCAACATTAATCAATGGCTAGCGTCTGGTGGTTGCAATAATAGGTGTAATCATTGATTGAAGACCAACATTGAGTGGTGGCAAGCAAAGCTCTAGGATTCTCTAAACATAAAAATTCTCTCCACCTAAACTCCACCTTGAATGCATAGAAATAAAGTCTATTTATAGATTTTTTAAGAAACATTTTGGTCATTTTTGCTAGAAAGTAGGATACTCCATCAGATGGTCTAAATTGATTCCCTTCATTCTATTTTTGTTTGGGCGTCTTAAATCGAGCCATCTTGGGCTCCTTGGTTTCGTCTCATCGAAATGCTCAATTTAACATAGGAACGTAAAATGCAAAACATATTTAATCCATGTAATAATCTCGAGAAAATTTTTATTGTATTTCTTAGTGATTGATTTCAACCTAGTTGGACTTATATCGATCATTGTTCATCTTATGGAGCCATGCTATATGGACTGCACGTTTGCTCATAACAGAGGTCAGATCTCGGAATCAGTTATTGGTTTTGGCCCCCACATAGCTCTCATGTGTAATTACAACTTTTTAAAACTGGATTTTCCATTTTGACATATGCAACAAGATACCCAAGGAGCATCCCAGTATCTGACAAGAAATTGATACTGACATGTGATTTCTTTAAAAGAATCTATGTTTATAATTGTCTGGCAAATTATGTTATCTGGTCAGGGACTTGAAATGTAGCTTTTCCGATAAGTATTGTTGTATTACAAAGACTGGATTTATTAGCAGATAAATTTCTAGGTAATTGATTTTCATAACTCCCCACATGGACGAAAATAAAAAGTTTGGAACTTTTATTAAACTCATAACCTCTTTTACTCTGTGGCGCCCGCACTTGCATCTCTAAAAGTTTTTGGTGTTTTCAGACGGAAAAATAACTTTTTTTTTATTCAGAATAACAAAGAAACATAGAACAAGGAGAGCTGGTATCAGCTCGTCTTCTACGCATTTCTATTTTGGTAGCCTGCAACCATCCACCGACCACTACGAAATAATTTAAGCAGAGGTATCTCAGAAACATAGAAATGAAGGTGCTGAGAAATAAAATGGAAATACATTTCCTTCTCAATCTGTTAGCTTTGCTGTTAACACGCTTTACAGTAAGTATATACATCAATTTATAGCTTTGTCTCCACATGCAATATGTCTATCCATGCTAACAGAAATGCTAACAGATGGACGGAGGCAACAAAATAACCTCAAATTTAAGTATCACTTTTGTTGGTAGAATAACCCGCTGAAATCTCACTTGGGAAAAACATAGAATCCCATGGAAGATTCGGTTTCCACTCATCAGAAGGATTTGGTTCTAGGTTGAAGGGCAAGTTCATAGTCCTCATATTTCCCAACTGATTATTACTAACGCACATACTACTTGTAGTCTTCTTGACCATCATAACTTCTTCTTCAATTCCCAAGTTCCTATAATCTTCTAAAGGAAAAGTAGCAGTGAATCCACTAGACTGCTGCGGCTGCCCAAAGTTTATGCTTGGAGAAGGTTTCTCCAGATCTCGAAGTACTGCAGCTGATACGTTGGGAAGCATGGAGGTCGCATCGATTGAAGGCTTGGAATCATTTGATGTTTCTTGAGGGGAGAACGTGAAGGTTGTGGGCATTTCAGGTGACAAACAGTTGATCCAGTTTATTGGCTTGAAGGTAGGAACATCCAAGGAAGGATAAGTTACTGCATTAGTATGCTGCTCGAAGCCACTGCTGCAACCAAACTGGATCAAAGAACCAATTTCTCTTGCGCATGAGATGTTCTCTGATCCAAATTGTGCAACATTTATAGCGTACGGTAGAGAAAACTTATGAAAATCTGTAGCTTCTGGCAGTGAAGCTACCCAGGAGTGAGAGAGTGCTCTATGTGCTGCGGTGTTTGTCTTCTTGAAGATCCTGCAAATGGCCCATGCTTCCTGATCATGAATAATAAATAATTAGTGAGTTTTTTCCTTCTCTCTGATCTATGACTAACAGATATAGAAGATGATCAGGTCTATAACTTACATTGGCTGGAATGAAATTCTTATCCATTGATCTTTTTGAAATCGAGTGATCATTGAGAGATGGTAGTCTGAACTCATGCATCATCCAATCCGTTTTGATCCCTTTTGCTGCTCTTCCCTTGTAGAAGACAAGAGATTTCTTCAGGCCTATGCATTTTACTCCCTCAGATGAATAGATAGGCCTGTCTGTTCCCGTGGCTTTCCAAAATCCTGCGCTGGTAACTCTGTTGGGCCTCGCACTGTTGCGGTATTTCCTATCCCTCGGACAGTAGAAGTACCATTCCTTCTCACCCGTTGTTGCCATCTCTGCTCACAAGCAAGCTAGCATTTAGCCTTTTTTTTTTTATTGAAAAGGTACGGTGAACATAATTTTATGAAATACTAATTCCATTAACCCTGTTTTATGTCATGCATTTGCTTTGAATACTGTTAATAGATAATGCATTTTATTTAGTTTCTTTAAACTTCATGTTGGTCAGTTTTTTATACTGTCTACGTTTTACCTTTGTGAATAGAGTTTTTTTAATTGGTTATGAAAGACATCTAAACTTATCTAAGGAGACACTAGTTTTACTCCACTACTTCGTTTGGTTCAGCCATGAAGCACATACATCATCTAAGCTTATCATTAGCTACCTTTTTTTTATAAAATGGCCTTATTAAATTGTCTGATATGAAAGTGACCCACAGAGCAGGCTACAGCTAGTGTTTGCATCAATTGCTTACATGTCTAGCCAGGCTATGAACTTGATGACTCCTAACAGATAAACATAACATTAAAGATGATGAAAAACAAAGAGAAACAGAAGTTCTCTATGAAACCAAAAGCTAGTGAAACCGGAAGGAGGAAACAAATGGATTAAAGGTAGCGAAAGCGAAGGATTAGGAAAGAAACTTTTAAAAGAAGAAAAGTTTACTTTGAACTTGAAGGAGTGAGAACACTGCTTGAACAAGTTCCCTAAACTGTAAGTGTTGTTAAAGAAGGAAGAAAAGAATCGCTTCAATAGGAAATTAAATTAATTTTTTCTTCTCAGGTATGTGATAATTTATCTGATATTATTGTACATTAATGAATAGTGATGGCTTACTCGGTAGGTCCCATGGATCGTATTTGTAGATATCCAGTTGCTTGATGAGCTCAATGGAAAGAGGCTTCTGCTGTATCTTTCTCCTCAGATAGAACCCTACCAACTCCTCATCCGTTGGATGAAATCGGAAACCTGGAAGCATGACCTCATCAACCTTATCCATATCATTATTCTCCTCCATGCCTCTAAACCTTCACTATGTACTCCAAAGGAACACCCAAACAAGCTCTAAATGCTTGTTTGGGTTTCAATGAAGCGTTAAACTAGTGGTGGGACTGTAAGCTTTGAGCTTAGGAGAATCTAGTAGATGGACTACAAATATCTGACTTGTGAAAATCCAAAACTAGGTGAGAACTTTCTTAACCTCAAAGATAGCACTTCAAGCTTTCTTCAAATAATGAATTCAAGCTATAAGCAAAAAGCAAGTGGTGATCTTTGTAGAAGACTCAAAATGAATTGACTCAGGACTAAGGAGAATCTCAAACAGAAGATTATTGCAAAATACAACATGTAGTAAGTTGTAAAAAAGAGACTCAATTTGCTACAAGGAAGATTTTTCCGTAAGGAACTCAGCAAATTATCTAGTAAATAAATGGCTTCACATGTGCTCCTCCTCCGAAGGCTTGGCTTATATTTTGCTTGAGCACTGCTCCTTATAATCATGATCTAACTGCTTAAGACGACTGCCAAGGTGGCATGTTAGAATTATTAATCTTATAGAAAGACTTATTTGACCCTTCGCATGAAACCATTGAACATTTTTTAAATCCAGTGAGGATAGTCTCAAAAAGACTACACGTTTAGCTTCATATAGGGGTTACCGACTCATTTTCCATTCTTGTATTATAATATTCACCCCATGGAATATTTCGAACAATTTTGAACGCAAATCCATTCTAGGCCGGCATCTAGGTAGGCCGTTACATTTTTTTATTTGGATGGCAACTGAACACTTTCCAATGCTACGAATAAGTCAAATATATGTATATTCAATCTCAAGATTCTGAAACTCCCTTGATCCGTTGAAAAATGAAAGCAAGTTTCTCCTTCTCTTTTCTAGTACATGCCCCTCTCTCGTCCATTTAAAGATTATTCTGTGTGGGCAACGGACGGTTCTTGTCCGGTATCGAGTGGTACCGTGCTCGGTACCGAGCACGGTACACTTTTAGGGTGACGTGTTGCATTTTTATTGGTCTCCACGACGTCCGGACTCCGCACAGAATAATTTGTTCAGTTTAAGACATTAGGTCATGTGGATTCCACAATACTAAATTCAAAAGAGAGGAAAAAAACCCTCATATTTTTCCTCACCAATGCGCGAGGACTCACATGCAATATCTTGTACACGATCATGTTCAAAGGATTGCCATGGAATTGCTCGACAGCAACTTGTTTTCTTTAATTAAGATGAGATTCTAAAAAATTTTGGATGTTTTTTCTTGACTCATATAGAAAGTACGCGGCATTCTTTTTTTGTTGGGAAAGACCTGTAAGCATGTAACAGAATGTGGAGCTTATTTGATTAGTTTATCATCTGAAGTCAATAGAAGGATAAGAAAGAATAGCTTCAACCAAATTATTCAGCTTCAATTATTTACATTTTGTTGTACTAAATAATTTAGACATGAGCTATAATATTCTTTAGGGAAAGCTTTAGAAAATATAATAATTAACAAGTCCGATAATGTTTGGAGAAGAAGGATTTTATAAAATTTTAAAATAAATAATTAAGTTTAATGAATGATGATATATGAATAATATTTCCATGTATCCCCAGGAGGGCATATGATCATATGACATGTTTAACCTGTTAATTAATTTACACTGTCATTGTAGAAATCAACTTCACCGTTTGAATTTATTTATCTCACCAGTACTTTTTAATGGATAATATGATTTTTAAGATGTCCCGTCAAAATATGACACTATTCATGTCTGGCATTAGTTAATTTCTTATTTATCTTTGGAATATTTAGCTGTGTAGTTAATGTCAATCGAAGTCCACCAGCTCATAATAGTATTTAAATGTCTTTTTCTTCGTTTTGCAGTGGGAAAGGAGAGAGTATTGTCCTAATTGCCTAATTGTTTTCACACCAATCACGTTTTATCTGATCTATGCAAATTCATTTCCCTACTTTTTTTCCAAAGGAAGTTCGAGTTTTTTTCTTTTTAATTTGAATGATTTGGATTAAATACGGCCATTTTTTGTGATTATTGATTTTGAACTTCGCTTGTTCTTTTAGATATCTATATTAACTGCTGTGCTGTGGAATTTTCTGAACTGTTCAAAAATACAACGTAGTTTGCATATACATTTTCCAATTCTAGAGAGAAAAGAACTTAAGCTATTCCATAAAATACCAAGTAACCTTTGAAAATATATGACACGTGAGAAGAAAGTAGGTTTGAGAGAAAAGTTAAAGAGCAGGGTCCACCAAGTCCCCTATCTATTGTCATGTTATAGCAATCTTTGGGACTTGCATTTGAAAAGAAAAATTGGATTAGGATATCACAAAATATATTTAAGATGAATTTTATATTTATTTAATTTGTTTTAACATGAGTGTATGATAGGAAACACTTGTAGATCTCAAATAACTCCTATCAATCTTTGGAAAATAGCTAGAATTCTTCACAAAAATTCATACAAAATCAAGAAAGCAGTAGATAATTTGTATTATTTGATGAAAGGGAAATAGAAAATACCAACATACAATTGATCCTCTATTCGAGGGGAGGATCTCTCTCTCCCAATTCTCTAGACGGTAGATGCCACTAGAGCCTAAACAAAACTTATGAGAGATCTCAAATTTCAGCCAAATTCAAGATGACCTAAACCTAGACAAACAAATTATTTAATGCATACATTCTAAAAAGAAATATCTAAACAATCTTTATATTCAAATTTCCCTTTTACATCCCTCTAAAAACTTTCCTATTCCAACTACTGGAGCCCACGGTTTGAGCGGCACATAGGGGAGGTGGACGAATTCCGCCTGTCTCCATGAGCCGGTCATGTATGGACCGGCTAGACCGGTCTAATAATACCCCCCTCCCAAAGACCCACCTGTTCCCTAAGGTGGAAGGATAACACTCTCCTCAATTTCCTTATCATCATAAACGGTGAGAACGTAAAGAGTTCAGTCCTTACACCTGTGCCCCGGTGTATACCTCTCGTCACATCTGAAACAGAGCCTTCACCCTCTTCTCCTGTAATGCCGTTTATGTTAGCTTCTTGAACTTGTCCCCAGGTCTTCCTCCTACAGTCTTCTCCTTCAAAGTCTCCCAAAGAGCATCCGAAGAGTATCTTAGCTGTCCCCCCCCCCCTTCAAAGAAAATGAAAATAGTTTTAAGCCTAATAACACCATCACTGATATCATTATACTTAAATGTTGTACATATTTATAGGAAACTAATTAAGTGTAAATTATGATCTTCAATAGGAGTTTCACCAAACTGGAAAATTTGAACTATCTGAATTATGAACGATTTTAATTCAAAATTATTAGCCTGAATAGTTGGTCTACTAATTCTCTGATGGGTTGACCCGGACCCGAATCGGGTCGGGTTCGGGTCCAGAAACCTGACTCGTTTTTAAAAACGGGTCGGGCTCAGGTTGACCCAAATAGTGCCGGGTCAGTTCCGGGTTCGACACGAACCCGACCCGCTGACCCGAATTGACACCCCTAATACTCCCTGAGAGGTCTAAAAATGATCTTGATCTAGCACTGGGTTAGACATGTTTACTTTTTTTTTTTCAAAATTTTGAGAGTATACTTTCTATATCATAATCAAATAAAAAAGGCTCCTTTCTTGATCCACAAAGCTTACAAGAATGAATAAACAACAACACAAAAATATAAAAAATGAGAAAAATAGAATACAAATACAAGTTGGTCTAAATATGAACTTATTTCAACAACACAGTTAAATTATAATATGCAAATTACTGTCCCAACAATGACGCCAAAATCCTATGGCAGTTGGGGCTTGTGTAGGTTATCAAGATTGACTCTATCTGAGCTTAGCTAGATGTGACATGCAAGATTTAAATATGATTATATTTTATTTGATATATCAATAATTAAATCCCATTTAAATATACGCAAGTATACGTGAAAAATTAAGTAATAAAGTGATGAAGTAGAGTGTCGAACCCACGAGGAAGAGTTATGCTTGCTTAGAATAAAATTATTACTGTTAACTCTAATTGCATAAGTTATACAATTGAAATAAAAATGATATTTTTAAGTTCGTACCACTAAATAAAAATAAGTAAAATAATTGAAACACATTTAATAAAATATTTTGGATTGATTTACGTAAATATTATATTTTTCCTAATGATACTCTTAATTTTAAATGTGAATCAGAGCATATGCATCCTTAGATCTTTATCGAGCTTGTAGGAGTGAAAATGGTATTTGTTGACCTCCTACAGTTTTAATATCTCTATTGAACGTAGAATATTCAAACATCCTCTGTTTAGGCATGCCAACATTCTATCTCAATACTCATGATTGTTCTTTCATTCCTCCATCTAGGTTATACATCATATTAAGTTTTAATTATACATATGGCCATTGCATGCATTAAATGAAGAACATGATATATTGAAAACATTCATACATTTTTTAGAGTACAAGAGTATACATTAGTACTTAATATGCTCTTTACATCATCAATCCAAAATAAGAGATCTAACTAGATATAAAAGAAATAACAAGCAAACTCATTTTCATTATATTCATAGAAGAATTAAGTACAAGAGAAGTAATGAAATTTTATCACTAGGAATGATCAAAGTTTCTTCTCTACACTCCTTCCTCCATTTATAGAGTTGCTTATACAACACAGGCTAAACTCTCTCAGAGATTGTATGATTTGTATCTTATACTTCCCTAGTCTCTCTTAGATTTTATTTTAAGAGAGTATTAGAGAAGTACATTGAAAATGCATTAAATTTTACTCAAGTGACTGAACTCCTTGCAAACAGAACTGAACATCTATTTATAAGAAAACACAAAAACGGCTTCAAGTGCTGCTGCACTTGACAGGGTGGCGCCATTGCACTTAAAATTAAACTAGCGCAATGACCAAATCTTATAGCTCCTTGCGCGTTTCAGTTGAAAACCTTAAAGCTCTATGGCCAAATCTTCCAGTTGTTGTGCCAAGCTGGTCGCCCACAACTTATCTAGGTTGCGATCATCATCACCTCATATCCAGTTAGTGCAATCCACCATCCCACTCGAACTCTAAGCTCTGATACCACTCTGACATAGGGAGTCTCGAAAGATGTGGCCACAACATCATAAGCCCAAATGAAAGAGAAGCAGAAACCTTCAAAGCATAAAAGACGTATATTGATACTTTTCTATTACATTTTTGTGTATAAATGCTTTAGAGTTTCTCTGGCTATAATAAGCTTAATAAGCAAAAAAGGTGAAATAGTACCTATAACTGTAAGAGGAATAAAGTGGCAGCACTATTGCTAGGATTATTAGATAATAAGTAATATGAAAATAATAAGTAATACAAATAAGGATATAGTCATATAGGTATCAATGACTGGGCTGATGCACCGCATCAATATATATACAGTCAAGGTATGAGCCAAACATAATCAAATAAGGCATTGTTTGTGTTTGACTCATTAAATATATGAGGTTGTAAAATTTGTTGATCTCAAGCAAATAACCGAGCCAAATGTGATTGAACATGAACAAGAAGTTTTCTTGATATGGCACTTTTTCTGATTGATAAATGCAAAAAATATGATCGAAATCTTTGCTAGTACCGTTTTGCCTTAGTTGCTTTATCTGTACTAGTTAACAACACGATTATATCAAGCTAGAACCAGTTTTAGGTCTCTATCCCATGTAGCAGACTAATCATTGGCGAAATATAAGATGTTAGTTCACTTGCAAACATGAAAGTTTGAGAGAGTTTCCTATAAATATTTAAAGGGAAAAGGGCCCATCAATGATATTTAAATCAATTTGGAGTTGATGCAAGCGTGTGAGCAATGGCATAACGAATTCCCATGACCAAGATTTCTCAGCCATGTCGGCCTAACAGAGAACAATCTGAGAACCTTCTAATTAATGATTTAAACCATAGGTATAATCCATCGAACTTTGGAACCCTAAATCCAATCCCAACTATATGAGTTCCCCCACCACATAAAATTAAAATAATTAAATTTGGACCTCGATTTCTGGCTCTTTATTGTCCCTTGGCTTAATGCTCGGACCCAGCTTGCGTGTGGACCAAGATAAAAAATGGTCAAACGATTCAAACTCACGCCAGCATGGGGGATCTCTCTTCCTCTTCTTCGGTTTCTTGATATGTGAACACCTCAAGCCCTTCACTGGCCAATAAGGTTGGAATAAGCATACCAAGCATGTAGTTTTCCTATGCACCTACTCTACTAGCTTGAATTCAGTTCTCATTATTACTAAAATATTTTCATTTCCTTGGTTGTTAAGCATGCAACCTTTCCTTTCCCTCCTTCAATGATCCTCTCTCTCTCTCTCTCTCTCTCCAGGAATCAAAATTTTCAAAAAAAAAAAAAGAAAAAAAAGTGATAAATGACAAAATGTGTGATGTTTGTGGGGCAAAAAAAATTATGTTAAGAACTATATAGTCACACCCTTATGGAGTGGATTTATAGCTAAAAAATGTATTGATGATCTAAAACTATTTAGTTTAGAATCACATGACCCAACTCTAATCCTTTTTAGTTCAAGCTATGTAGAAATTAAAAACATTTTCTAATTTTTCTTTGCTCACCTTTGATCCATATCATTGAAATATTGTCCATGCAAATACTACAATTCAATTCTTCATATTTGTGACTGAAGTTGCAATTAGGTGAGCAATATATATATATATATATACATAAAAAAAATTTCGCGCCCGAACCCATGCTAAGCGCCGGGGGGGAGTGTTAACTCCCTACACCCCCCAACGAGCTCGAGAAACTTAAGTTCTGAGGCAACAAAATAATCTAATTGATCAAAACAATTAGATTCTACACATAACAATCACAATATACATAATTATATATGCTTAATTCAAGCAGGCACGTGTTTAGACTTTACACCAACCATAAGACAGTCATCAAAACTCTATCAACTAGGGATGGAGTTAATGATTATTTATCATTAATTGTACAAAAAGAAATGAATACACATGCCCTCCATGGTTTCACTAAAGTCCATAAACCAATACAAGAATGCTTTCAAATCACTCGAACACTTCATTGGGGGCTTCTTTTCACTTTTAATAACTTCTTTATTTGGCAACAATACCAATCTCCATTTATCACACAATTTAATAACCGTACGCACTCTTCAATAAATTACTTCTAAAATAAGCAACCAAGTTTTTTTTTCAACCAAGTTATTATTATGATTATTATTATTTTTTACTTAAGGCTTTTTTTTTCAATTACTTAAATAAAAAATTATCATTTTGCACATATATTTCCTCTATGGTTTTATTAGAATCATAAAACCATCTTTTAGTAGATGAATCTGTATAAAAATATTTGGTATTTTTTGTGCTTGTTTAATTTTTTTTGCATTTGTTTACTTGTAATGATTAGAATTACATCATGAATCTATTCCCAATAGTAGATTATGATAATTTTATTTCATACAATACATTAATTGAGACTTCGTTTGGGACGGTTTTGTTACTGTTTCTTAATGCAACTTTTTAGTTAAAAAATTAATTAGAAAGTTACTGTAACAAACAGCAAGAAAGTCGTTCCAAACGAGGCCTGAATAACAGCTAGCTCTAATCTTTATCCTTATTATGATGAGCATAATAGTCCACCCTGGAAGCGCTTGGGGATGCAAAAGATGTTATTTGAAAGAGATGGGAGCTGGGACATAACTTCCAAGCCAAAAGACAAAATATTAGCTTGATTAAAGGTATGCATCTGTACAGCTGTAGGAGAACTACGTGCACATTCTTATATTATTATTATTATGCAACTTCAGCTATGTAACTGTGTGGAAGGCAAGAAAGCAGCTTTGTTTTTTAATTTTTTCTTGACTAATCTTGTCAGAAATCACCCACATATGCCATACAATATGTACAATCATCATGTTTCATTTGTGTCTGATATATGTTAGTTAGCTAATGCTATTTTTTTATATATATTTGAAATAAAATTATCATGCCATATTTGAATTCTTGTTTCTCTTCAATTTTTTTATTTTCTCTTTTGGAAACAATAATAAGTGTAGAAATCATATTTGTCTGAATCTGCTTTTTTCCCATTTTTAAATAAAATGCTATGTTTTTTTTTTTTTTCTTCGGAAGTATCTTTGAAGGTTCTTTCACTCATTTCCCTCTCTTTCAGGGGAAAAAAAAATTCAAATTTTAGTACAATCTATTGTTGATTATATGAATTATTTGATGAGCTTATGATGTATTTTGAAGTTAATGAGGTCCTTTGGAGGCTTGGATAATGATTTCGAAAATTTTGATTAAGTCTATGATTTGATATTTGATAGAATATTTTTTTGCTCCACAAAAATTCATAGCATAATTTTTTATACGTACATGAAGGAGCTACATGGATTTTTGATATGCCGCTGGATTACCCTGAACCAGCCCAACCGGCCTAAGGCCCGGTTCAGGTTTATAGGATGCAGAACTTGTCTACCTCCCTTGGTATTGCTCGCCAACATGGTGGGCCTCAACTTGTCAAATAATTTTCAAATTCAAAAGGAGTGGGCGGTTAGGTCTTGGGAGGGAGATTAGATTATGAAAGTGTTTGTATTAAGAGGGAAAAGATATTTAGGGAAGGGTTATGTTTTGATTGATTGGAATTAGAATTTCTTGACGACTTGGGCTCTAGACACTCTTGTCTAGAGATTTAATTGGGAGAGACGATCCTCTTCTCAAATTGATGATCTATTGTATCTTTGCTTTGTTCTTGTTTCCCTTTATTTCCTATAAGAGTTGCTATCGTTTGATTGTTCTTCCACTACGATTTCTTCGTTTTATCGATGTTTTTACCGATTATTGTTAGGTTTGCTTGCGAACTCAAGTAGACCCGATAAGATTACTTGCGAACTCAAGTATTTCCTATCAATTTTCTTATGTGGTTAAAGCGAGCAATGATGGTTATTATTACATTACAATATAAAGCAGTCTATAGAATTTAATGAATGAATTTAATCTAGGTAAGAAAACATTTTAGGTAGAACCAATGGTCCTGTTAGTAACTCTTGGGTGATTCTACCAATATAAGATAAATGATAAAACCTATGTGACTCACCTTGAACTATTTGAGAATTTGTATCCCATTTGACTAGCAAATATATATAGTGGGTCAATATTCCTTGGAGCAAAGCTGACCTACAAATTATTAATGGAATGATATATTATAGACCTTATTTTCACTATGATAGTTTTATCTTGATACATGAATTAATGCGTTACACTAAGCTTAAGTGGGTTATATCTCAATGACCCAAGGATTTTTCTGCCCACGAAAAGAGTATGAGATGAGTAATAATATTATTTATGTTCTAATTGTGTTGACTATCTCAACTAAACTTATTATTGAGGTTAGTTGCCTTTTAATTGATACTAAAACATCTATCTCTAGATCTTTTAACTGAGTACTAAAACATCTACATCTAGATCTTTCATATTGAGTATGGATCTATTCATGTTGATTATGTTAATCTTGTACCTGGATAAGCACTACTTAATATTTATCATAATAAGATCGATGCATCCAAAAGAATATGTCAAACTCAAGCGGTAAGCCGATGACTTATTAACCAAATAATTCATTCGTGGGAGCTTGTCTATCTACATTGTTAATAAGATCCCTTCTTACATTTAATCAAGCTATCAATATCAATTACATAAAGGTCTTAGATTCTTGCACTTGATGACATGATCAACATGATGGCAAAAGCAATTATCTTGTCAAAAAGCAATCTTAGGAGTGAATATCATAAAACTCATATTAGTGAGCTCTTATTGTTTGGTGCTTCAAGAAAGGTGATTTTGATGACCAAATAAATCTCAGAAATCTTTTCGAAAATCAAGAAGTTACCCGCAAGTTAATGGTGTTAAAACTTCCTAATTTCAGCAAGAAGTTCGAGATTTATAATGAGACAAAAAAAAAAAACATTCAATATGAATTGTTTTCACATTCCATATTGAAAGGATAATATTAAAGCTTTTATTAAAAAATAGTGAGCCCACTCTCATCTACGATCATTCCATCAAATTATTATAGATAAAACCAAAAAACATTCATGGCTTTTCTGTTCTGTCTTTCTTTCTGTCAAAAAGCCATGTACTGTATTTGTAGATGATTGTTTTGAGGAAAAGAAAAGAAAATATGGATGTTTTATTCCGCTGCATTTGATGATTTATAGTAGCTCTGTGTCTGTGTGTCTATTGGAGTTAAATTATTTGGAAGATTCAATTCCGAACCAAATTCCATAACCAGATCCTGGTAAGTCAGTCTGTCTGTTCCGTGTCGCGACCCGGTGCGAGCGGGATCAGTCCCGGATCGAGTCGGGTCGTGACATTCCCCCTGCAATGTAGTGTACCCAAATATTACGACATAGTATTGTATGATTGGAGGTAGAAATAGAGCGGAGCACCACGTCGCTCCAAACCGTAATGTTGTGACTATGTTAGACAAACTAAAGACATCGCATGAAGCATCACGACACCACGAGGAGGGCTAGGTACTTTTCTTTTTTGTTTTTTTATGAAAGGTCAAGTCCCTTGATGGTTTTTAATTTTTTATATGTTTTTCTTTTTTAATTCTTATAAGAGAATGCTGCAAAAATGAAAAGAGACAAAAAGAGAATGAAAGAAAAAAGATATTACAATTTCTCCTAATATTTCATAGTGAATTTACTAGCATGATGTGACTAAATTTTTCCGTGCTAAATGTTGGTTTTCTTTCTTTTCGGTGCTATTTTCTTTTCTTGTTTGTGTTCGCTTTGTGTTTCACTTCCCCAACAATAAACATTTACATAATAACAATATGAGAAGAGATTAATATATCTATTAAAACACATTTTTTTAACAAAAATTGTACATAATAAATGTATTGCTCAACTCTCTGCTACTTGTATTGTATCAAGATGTTCCTCACATCCATCGTACAGTTACAGGAAAAAAAATCAGTCTACATGGAACTATATCAGATAATGGTGCATCAGTTCATCACAAATTTCAGACTATGACTATCAAGGTCTTCCCTTTGCTAATCAGCCATTATATTATAATAGGCTTGAAGCCAATTTTTCAAAATTGATCAATATCAACCAAACCAGGCTACAATTCATTGACAAATGCATCTCATCTAAGAAAAATTTCATGAGCATTTCAGTAATGTACATTCTACAATTCAGGACTATAGAACAAAATGCTGAAAGTTACAATGAATACGTGTAAATATATTTAAAAACCTCCCATTTTCAATTTTCGCCTTAAAGAGACTTTGCTAGAGGGGTAGCATTAAAGTAAATAGTGCTGTGGCTGATCTGCAATGTTCATTGATGTGGTTCTTGCTGAGGAGTTGCAGGTGATTCAGGTGCAATGGTAAACTGCAGGCTCCTTCGTTGACCTGACTGCAGAATGAAGGCAACTTCAGCTGCGGCCATGGCTGCTGCTTCCTGAAAATTTGATAGCTGAATCAGTGGGACGCCACAGTAAACACATTTCAGCTGATATTTTGAGTTTATGTCAAAACTGTAACAAATTTTCTCACGAAGTTCATAAAACTCTTTGAGTGGAAAAATTATTATGTACGGACACCGAACGCCGTCACCAATCAGAATGTGTCACGTCACCCCTTTGCTCGGTATCGCTGATATTGCTGCACCTGATTCACCTCCAGACATAGAGCAGCGTTCGGCCTCCGCACAGTCCTTTGAGTGGTTACAATTTTTAATCACTCCGGTCGGTCACATCAAATTTTCGGCGTTATAATTTAAGCCTCAATTATATATTTTTAAATATTTAATTATAGAAAAATAGCCGAAACTAAATCCAAAAACTGAAGAAACTATTGAAAATGAAACTTTCGTGAAGAAACCCAAACCAAAACCAGAGTTTTCAAATCTCAGTATAAATCCTTTGAAGAACCTGTTTAATACTAAATATATATACAATAAAATGAACTAAATTGAAGCAGAAAAGAAATTATGCCAATGAAAGATTGATATAAGCTTCATTGATACAACTGAAAATAGTGCAAACAAGATGAAAGAAGTACCTGTCTTTGCCTTCTCCGATTCAGGATGCTAATGGCCCAAACCATGATGTAACATGGCAATAGAATTCCAGCAGCCCGCATCAAAAAGATCTGTGAACCATCAAAGAAACTTAAAAAATTGGAATAACAACAAATAATAATAATGATGATAATAATAATAATAAATAAAGGGGAAAAAACATGGTTGCTGAGAGAGTGCATAGAAAAAGTTCAATTACAGAAATGTAGCTAGAAGCATCATCATCTCCGGCAGTAGTCATACTTAATGCATGCCTCAGTAGAAAAAGCGCCATCAACTGCAACAGAAATAAAAAAAAAAAACCACCAAATCGCATTAGAAACTAAACAGGAAGAGCAAATGTAACTACAACGAGCAAAATTATCTAGCCGGAATATCAATCCAACCATTAAAGACCAAAAAAAAAACCCAGAAATGCAATGTTAATACATGAACTAATTAAAGATGAATCGCGTTTGAGATGACTTTCTTACTGCTTTTTAAAGCGGTTTTTTTAGTTAAATTTTTTTAATTTTTGTATTAGAAAGCCGCTTTTAGAAGCAGGAAAAAAGCCGTCCCAAACGAAACCTTATTCTTCTCCTATTCGCTGCAGCGATATCCAATTTGATAACAAACAACCATGCAAAATGTAAGGAACCTACGATTAGAGCAGCAGATCTACAGAAATTGGCGCCGCTAGCATTAGTAGCATCATCATCATCATAATGTGCTTCAAGGAAGCGGCGCTGAGCTGCCGCCATTGCAAGAATGCGAGGATCTCGCAAGTCTATGGAAGTACCAGTAATTGTCCAGCCCCCACTGTAATTTCATAGAATAAGAACCGATCAAAACACACAACACTTTAATATCAAAAAGTTCACGTAAATAAAAAGAAACAAACGTATTTAATATACCCTCATCGAACTCCTCAGCATGCACCAACACATCAAACAGTCAAGTTTTCTAAGAATTGAATTACTTGCTTCTAATATTTATGTATTTATGAGAGATTTGTGTCAACAGAGATGACTTGCCTTATATCGATAGTAGTCTCATCAGGAGGAAGACGAGGAGTTGCAGTGTACCCAGGCTTGTATGGCTGAAAATCAAGAGGAATACTCCCATAAATCAGCTCAAGTAGTAAGTTCAGTCCATATATCAAAGGTAATGGTCATGCTTTAATAGCATGAGTAACTTAGTGCACGCATATTTGAAGTTGAACAGAGCGGAATAAAAAATTTATGCACCCTTGGGGTCATAGTTGTGGGTTAAAAAGGGAAAGGCCAGTAATTGAAGTAACATATTTTATTAAAAAAATTATAATAGAATAATAACTGCAATAAGATTTCAAATGAAAAAAAAAAAGATAAAATGATTCCTTAACTCTTTATGAAAGATCATAATAATCTCAAATTATATTAAAGAACCATTTTGATCCCTCAAATCCTTAAAAAGGAACTAAAATAGTGCCATAGTCAAACTATTTTAGTTCTTCTTTATAGAGCTGAGAGACTAAAATGATTATTTAACATAGTTGGAGATCATTTTGATCTTTCATAATAATTCAATAGTCTATTTTGATCATTTTCTCAATTTCAAATACATACTATGCAAATCAAGTTATGGAGCAGCTCCACTATGTAACAAAACTTATGTGCCGCAATGTTTAATCACTGTCATTAATCTTAAAGTCATACTGAAAGCTGCGTTTCATGATAATTTGTATAGCAGCACCATAAGTTATGGAACTTTGTTAACGACTTAAATTCAGTTGGCAGAAAAAAATCCAGTGATGAAACTGATTTTTTTAACTAGCAATTCTTATCACCGCCTTATCTTCCTAACGTCACATTATCTATAGCCAAATCTATGTCTCGTTAGAACTTCCAAAGAACCCAAATTGATCGAGACTTTAGTCCAGCGAATCCTGGATATTTAAAGTTCATTTAATCATAAGCAGATCAACATCAACCTAATCCCAAGAAAAGTCGTATGATATTTATATAAAAATAAGTATGTCTTGGGAAGATACTCATCATTATTTGTCATTCTCCAAGGGCATAAAAAGGTATAGAGGATCATGCAACACCATGACAATTCGAAGTCATTGTTATGAATTCTCAATTTTCGTTCATTCTAATTAATTGTTGCCTAAGGAGTTAACCGATTCTTCACAAATAACTTTCAAACAACTTTCATCAATGTAATTTTAGATCAACTACTTTTTCCTTCCTAATTTTTTACAATGATTTTTATCTACTCATCTAAATTGTGCATTTTCTGTCTTTTGTATGCATGTCCAAGCCAACAATTATTTTTTCAATCACATTATCTTTAATAGATGTCACTCCAATAATTTTTCCTTATCTACATAAATAATCCTAGATAGGAAAAAAAAAATCAAAAGCAGAGGAGAAGAATTCACTATATCAAAAAAATGATATAAGTTGAGAGTGACAGTTCACACAATACACAATGGCAAACCCTAATTACATAAATATAAATATGTGTGCAAAAATAATATAAGTCCGGAATTGGGCCACATATCCCCCTAAATTTTCTCATAATTGAATTGCCCGCAAGCTTTTCTACTAACAGTAATAGAATTTGAGTCGCAAACTCTAAAGGATATTTCAGGCAAGGATTAATGGTAATTTCCAATAACCAAAAATTACAAAGTGTAAGGTCTGTGGTGACAGTTTTCAAATTCAACTTATGGCAAGAGGTATTGATGAGTGGCAGTTTAGTGATTTTGAGAACATTTTGCACGATTGTGAATTCTCAACTAATGGTAATATTATCTACATACTAAATCTATATTCACAATGATTAAAGTAGATAGCACCTCTCGCCAAAACATGACTTCACTTCACTAGAGTCAAATGCTTGTCATTTCTTACCTCAAGAAATGCAAAGCTTTAACTCATTGAGGACTAGCTGTTAAACTACAATGAACTATATATTTAGAAATTTTATTTTAGTGATAAACCTGGAGAACATAAAAACTAAGTATTTGCAGTTTTGGACCAATAGAATTGATCCTACAATCCACATGAAATGTAATTGATATGACCATAGAAATTTTGCTTGATCAACATGAATCTCGAGGCAATATTTAAATCGGAAATTTTTAGAATTAAATTCAGGACCATCCAAACATCAATTTCAACAAACTAATAGTCAAACTGAGCATCTCGACAAGACGAATCCATCGACAAAACAAGTGATCCAATCAAAGTCCCAATGAACCCAAATTAAGCACTTTAAACATATTTAGAAGCTTCATAACATTAAATAAATAAATGACCAAGCGATCTTTAAATATTGCATGCTTATAGTTAAATCAAGCAGCTTAATGAGATACATTCAAAGAGCCTTAGATGATTCAATTATGAGATCATTAAAAAACTCAAAAATTGAATAAACGATCAATGTACAAGTTGATCTATATGATAGTTCGATGAAGAGTTTTGAATTTTGGCTAAATTTACCAAAGTACTTCTCTCGAAAAAGTTATAAAGAGAGCTTTATATTCTACAGATGAGAGGTTCCATAATTGAGATAGTTAAAGAACTCTATTACATTTCCTATAGATGCCACCAATGACTACCATCAGCAATCGCCACCAGTATCACCTGGCTTCTATCATCTGACTATTGTCATATGTTACTAACATCCAACCTTGGTATTGAACTTTAATTGTCCACTTGTTGTCACTCAACATTTGTAATTGGTTTTTTCCCTTTTTAAAATTTACAAGCAAAAAAATTCTAGTGTTTTTTGCAACTTCTGGATGAGTGTGCTAGATATTTGTCCAAAACAAAACTATTTAACAAGCAATAAATTTTCTAGCATATAACAATTTAGCACTTCTATGAGAATCATTCTTAACATAATGCAAACATTTTATTAATAGTTGACAATCAATTTCTCAATCAAGCAAAAAAATTCTAGTGTTTTTTGCAACTTCTGGATGAGTGTGCTAGATATTTGTCCAAAGCAAAACTATTTAACAAGCAATAAATTTTCTAGTAGATAACAATTTAGCACTTCTATGAGAATCATTCTTAACATAATGCAAACATTTTATTAATAGTTGACAATCAATTTCTCAATCAAGGACATTACAATCTAAGTGGTGAACACTACCTGAGCCTCACATTTTATCAATATTTTTTTTAAATAACATTGCATGTAACAAAAATCCTTAGAAGGTATGCAAGTGAGGCATTCTCAATAAAAATATAGTGGACATAGTCTCCACTAGAAAGACACCATAAGGAAAGTGGTAGACAAGATTTCGACTCACAACCGCTAGAAGGCACACCAACGAGGTGGCCTCAATGGAAAACTAGTATTGGACAATCTTACCAAAAAGATTAATTCTATGAGAGCAAGTAGTTGCTAGAATGGAAAACTAGTATTGGACAATCCTTACCATAAAGATTAATTCCATGAGAGCAAGTAGTTGATAGAATATTCACTTATTTAAAAATCTAAAAAAATATAGATTTCTCTGGTTCTCCAAAAACCTTAAAAGACTAAAATTCTTACAAAGTACAAGAACACCAAAGTTCTCAGCAAGCTAAAAATCTCATAAAATATATGTTTCTCTGACTCTTTAAGAATTTCAGAAGACTAAAAGCCTCATAATATACACATTCTTCTAATTCTCCATAAAAACTCTGAAGGCGAAAAAACCTGAAAAAGATATAGGTTTATTTGTTTTAAAAAAAAAATCTCAAAAAGCTAAACGCCCTAGAAGATACAGGTTTCTTCGATTCTCTAAAAACCTCAGAAGATTAACATCCACAAAAGGTATAGGTTTTCCAATTTTCAAAATATCTCAAAAAGCTAAAGCCTCAAAAGGTCCATTTTCTTAAAAAAATCTCAGAAGATGTAAACTCAAAAGGTCCTGCAAAATTGTGGTCATTCATTATATTTCAACTAAAGTACAATATCTTGAAAATTTCAAGTATGCCTAAAAAATATATAAATGACTTAATTCTATTTGGGGGGAAATTAAACTGAACATCAAACTGAAGTACAATAAACTCAGCTTACAATGAGCTCCCTCTTCCCTATTGAAGTTTATTGTAAGGATGCAAAGTTTATCTCATACACAACACATAATTCTAATGAATTCAATGTTAATATTGGTGCTTGGCATCATCAATATTTATACTATACATCGATATTAAACTGAACGTCAAACTCCATAAATTAGAATGCTTTCTTCAGCACTATCTCTTGCATGAGTTGTAATTTTGAGAATAATTACCTCTCCATTGGGGAGAAAATTGAACATTCAAAATGAGATGAAAACACTTTTTGAATCCCAATCCTTACAAATGGAGATCATCAAAACCTTACCCCCTTTCAAGAAGAAAACCGAAGCTCCGCCACAAAGATTGAAAATCTTGGTTATCATTTATAACTTCACCTATATGGCGGTTCAATAATCATGAGTCATGATAGAGCACTGAAGCTTCTAAAGAGAGACTTGTCACCAACGCAAGACAATATTGAGCCTCTTTTAAGAGATGGAATTAGAGCCTACATAGAAAGAATTAAGAGATTTGGTTTTTTGCTCAACTCCAAATGACAATTCAATACTCTTTATAGAGGAGCAGTAGAGTATGTAAGGGGATATGCACCTCCTATCTAGGATAACATTTTGCTAAAGCCTACAAAGGGAGAATTGTGCATAGCCTATATAAGACTGAAAAAACTCTCTTAATAGAAAGAATTGAAGCCTACAATGAACGGAGCGAATTTCCCCTTATGAGAGGATATTTATATTTGAAGAGGAAAATGAAAATTACAAAATTAGTAATTTTAAAAAAATGAAAAAAAAAATTCCAAAATAGAAATGAAGAAGAAAAACAAGAGAAAAAATCATGAGAAATTGTACATATGGTGCCTCTATTAATTAAAAGGAACCATAGAGACATAAAAAGGCACAATCTCAAGCTCCCATTGGCGCCGGCATTGGCCATCTGACCGATCTAGTAGGCCCAGTCCATTCCAGACCCAATTTTAAGCCTGAATAAGATTTTTTTTTTAGCATTTTTTGGGTCCCCATAACTAATTTTCAATGTTTCAAACTTGAAGAAGAAGAAGAAAAGAATTTATATTTGAAGAGGGATATGAAAATTACAAAATTAGTAATTTAAACAACAACAACATCAAGCATTTATCTCAATACGTGGGGTCGGCTACATGAATCCTTTTTCTCCATTGTGTCCTATTAAAAGTCAAATTCTCGTTTAAACCTAATAAAGAAATGTCATTCCTAATATTTTCTAACCAAGTCTTTTTAGGTCTACCCCTACCTTTCTTAACATAAGTCAAATCTAATACCTCTACTCTCCTAACCTCCCCTATTCAAAACCATCCGAACTTGAAAATTCTGCTAAGATATATTCCCCATACTTATTTTCACCATCACTAGCTGAAACAAATGATGATCCAAGATACTAAAAAACGTGTACTCAATTATTATATGACTTAGATCGCGCAAAAGTCACAAATCCCTCAACAAGAGTCTATTTACTACAACTAAAATTAACTATAATATATTCCGTTTTAGATACTACTCAATGCGAAAACTTTAGAATTTAAGGTTGACCATCTCATAATTCAAGTTTACCTTTCCAAACTCCCTCTACTATCGTTATCAACAAGAAGAAATATATCAGCAAAAAGCATAACCCAAGGTACATCCTCTGCAAATATCTAGTGAGAACATCCAGACTAAAGCAAAAAGATATGGGCTTAAGGTTGACCTTGATGTAACCCAACCGAAATAGGGAAATACTTGGTCAAACATCAAGAACTCTCCATAGCACTTCTCTTGGAACTTTATCATATGCTTTTTCTAAATCAATAAATATCATATGTAGATCCTCCTTATTTTCTCTATATTTCTCCATCAAACCTCTTAATAAATGTATGGCTTCCATAGTCGACCTACCCGGCATGAATCCAAATTGATTTTGAGAAACATTAGTATCACGCCGCAACCTATGCTCCATAACTCGCTCCCATAGTTTTAAAGTATGACACATTAACTTAATACCTCTATAATTCGTGCAATCCTGTGCATCGCCTTTATTCTTAAAAATAGGAATTAACATACTCATTCTCCACTCATCTGGCATCTTTTTAGTCTTCAAAATAGTATTAAAAAGTTTAGTAAGCCATGAAATTCCTTCATCTCCTAAGCATTTCCACACCTCTATTGGGATATCATCAGGTCCAACAGCTTTTCCACCCTTCATTTTCTTTAAAGCCTCTTTAACTTCAGTTTTACTAATACGCCGATAAAAACAGAAATCTTTACTTTCATTTAGGGTGCTAAGGTCACTATAGTCAATCTTATTTTCACACTCTTCATTAAAAAGTTTAGCAAAATATCTCATCCATCTTTGTTGAATATCATCTTCTAAGAAAAGTATTTTTTGATCTTCATCTTTAATACACTTCACTTGAACTAAATCCTTACTACTCCTATCTCTTTGTTTGGCTAACTTATACATATATCTTTCTCCCTCTTTAGTATCTAATCTATTATATAAATCACTAAAAGCTAATGCCTTTGCATCGCATATTGCTTTCTTAGCATCCTTACGAGCCACTTTATATATTTCCCAATTATCAGAATTTTTAAAATTAAACCAATTTTTATAACAAAGCTTCTTATTTTTAATTTTTTCTTGCACATTAGGATTCCACCACCAACTATTTTTACTATTAGGAGCTTTTCCCTTAGATACTCCAAGCACATCTTTTGCAATATTCTTAATATCACTAGCCACTTTTTCCCACATAATATTAGCATCCTCATGCACAGACAAAATCTTAAGATCTAAAATCTTACTCACAAAAATATTTTTGTTAATATTCTTTAAATGCCCCCATTTAATCCTAGAAAATTGTTTTACTTTATTTTTTATTTTATGCCCCTTTATCTTAAAGTCCAAAACTAATAATCGATGTTGGGTACATAAATTTTCACTCGGAATAACTTTACAATCTTTGCATTCTAAACGGTTTAATTTCTAATAAGAAAATAGTCAATCTGGGTTGTATTATATCCATTTTTATAAGTGATGAGATGCTCATTCCTTTTCTTAAATAAGGTATTAGCAATTGAAAAATCATAAGCTAAACAAAAATCTAATATGGTCTTGCCACCTTCATTCGTCGTTCCAAATCCATGGCCACCATGAATGCTTTTAAAATCATCTACCTCTCTACCAACAATTTCATTTAAATCTCCTCCAATAAAAACTCTTTCTTCAAGAGGTATATTTTTGGTATTAATTATTCTAAGTTATTCCAAAAATTTAATTTAGAACTCATATCCAAACCTACTTGAGGAGCCTAAGCACTTATAATATTAACAATCTTATCATCAACAACAATCTTTAAAGCTATAATTCTATCTCCAATTCTATTAATTTTTATAACATTATCCTTTAAACTCTTATCTATAATAACACCTACACCATTTCTAGTACGACTCCTACCCGAATACCAAAGTTTAAATCCTAAACTATCAATTTCCTTAGCCTTCTCTCCAACCCATTTAGTTTCCTGAATGCATAAAATATTTAACTTCCTATGAATCATAATATCTATTAATTCCATTAATTTTCCTGTAAGAGAACCTATATTCCAAGTTTCTATCCTAATTTTAGTTTCATGGACTAGCTTCTTTGCCCACATCCGTCCTTGATGTGGGAACCCTTGCCTATTTAACAATGCACCCGGGCACCGGTGCAGCGGCCCTTGCACACTTTCCACTGTATTCAGGCCATACAGCGCGTCGCTTCCAGGGGACGCCCTAGCACTAACACAATTTTTTAAAGGATTCATGTCATTATTGTTCGACAAGTTTTACGCTGGTTGTCGACTACCTAACGCAACCCTCCACTTTTCGCATCCAGGACTTGGGACCTGGCAACGGCAGTGTTAAAATTAGTAATTTAAAAAAAAATCCAAAAAAAAGAAAAGAAGAAAAAACAAGAGAAAAATATTAAAAAGTTTACATATTGGTGACTCTATTAAAAGGCACTATACGATACATTAAAAGGCACAAGCTTAAGCTCCCATTGGCGTCGTCATTGGCCAGCTGACCGATCTAGTAGGCCTGGCCCATTCCAGGCCCAATTTTAGTCCTAAACAAGAAATTTTTTGGCATTTTTTTGGGTCCCCATAACTATTTTTCAATGTTTCAAACTTGAAGAAGGAGAAGAAGAAGAAAATAATTTATATTTGAAGAGGGAGATGAAAATTACAAAATTAATAATTTAAGAAAATGAAAAAAATATGAAAAATAGAAAAGAAGAAAAAACAAGAGAAAAAATCATTAAAAATTTTACATATAGGTGCCTCTATTAAAAGGCAACATAGGATACACTAAAGGCACAGCCTCAAGCTCCCATTCCCGTTGGCACTGATCGATCTAGTAGGCCCGACCCAATTTTAGCCTCGAACGATAATTTTTTGAGCATATTTTGGGTCCCCATAACTATTTTTCAATGCTTCAAGCTTAATTTTGGTACTTTCGAAGTCGAATAATGCCTCTATGATCAAATTCAAGCAAATTTACAAATTTTAGAGTAAAAATTTTCAATATCTTTTGCTACAATCGAAATGTTGACTTAATGAAAAGTTAAAATTATAATTAAAGATATTTTACTTAGTTCACGACACTTTGAGAGGTTCATATTGACGTCCAAAGAGCATTAGTACTATATTTTTTTTAATATTATAAATTTGCATCATAAATTTTGTGGAAAACTTGCTATAAACATATGAAAATAAGAGGAAAAGTATACATCTCCAAAAAATTCACTTCATGAGCATGAATCTCAAGGCAATATTTGAATTGGAAACTTTATGAATTAAATTCGAGATCATTTGAACTTCGATTTCAAGTTGAACTAAACATATCAATGAGATGAACCCATCAACACCATAAGGTATTTGATATAAATCTAAATGAACCCAACTCAAGCACTTGAAGCAAAGGAAGCTTCAAAACATTAACTGAATGACCAAATGGTCTCTCCGCATCTTGCATACTTATAGTCAAATCAAACGGCTTGATGACATGAATCCAATGAGCTTAAGATCATTTAATTCCAAAGTCATTAAGGAACTCAAATACTTCATAAATGTACGATAATCAGGGGGACCAATACAAATTGTTAAATAAAATATTTTGAATTTTGATCAAATTTAACAAATTACTCCCTAAAAAAGGCTATAAATATGACTCTATTTTCTATAAGTAAAAGGTTTATAAACCAAGAAACCTAAAAAAAAATTTATTACATTTCCCGGCGATCGTCACCGATGACCACCGTCACCAGTCACCGCTAACCACCATCACCAATCACACCATCTCCTGACTTCTATCATCCGATTATTATCACGTGACTACTAACATCTAACCCTTTTATTGGACTTCAATTGCATGATGTGGATACCCAACTTTTATAAACCCTACAACATAAATCAACATTTATTCTCAATTGGGTAACCTGTCTTCTTTAATTGTGAAGAAGAACGGATTCTTGTATATATAATTATAAAGTGAATTATTGCAATTGGGTCAAACCATTTGATTTTTCCCTTTTTGAGTTGATGTAAGGGATTCTTATATTTCTTGCAACTTCTTTCTATGCGCACTCTTTATATAAAGATAAGATTTTCAACACTCTATACCATCACAAATTTTATAGCACATAACAATAATAATAGTTTTAAATAAGTTGATTGAACCAAGAAAGAGGCATTAATATGTTCATTGGGAAGAAGATGAACATTGAACCCTAATAGAAAAATTAATTTCCAAATGCATTATGGTTAAGCAAAAGCTAGAAACCAAAAAACACAAAGTTTGCAACAAACCTCATGGCAAATTTCGCAAATTATATCCCCCTTCTCATTGCACCACCGTTGCACACATTCCCTATGAGCATACTGCACATGCACCAAAAAAGGAAAGTGAGAACAAATCTAGCTTACACGAAAACAAATAATCTAAATTAACACATTTGAATCCCAAAAACTACCACAGGTTGAAATGTACCAGAAAACCAACAAAAATCAAGATTTACTACAAAATTTTTCCAGATACTTCTAGAAAGCATGACAGCCTTAATATCACAATTGAGAACAACTTTTAAGTCAAAGAATACTGTAACATGGCAGTGAAAGCCAATAATATCAAGCAGTAAACGGAATATTGCCAAGCAAACAGAACAGCATATAGACTATACCCAAGATGAAAGGGAAGAATACAAGAAACCATGGTATACTTTAAATTTTCAATCAGAAAAAACTCAAGCTTTTGACATAAACTCAAGCAAGTACGAATTCCGAACCATAGCAGGTAGGGAAACTAAATGAATTTGTTTATAACTTTCCACATAAGTAGCATGCACTGTTGACTGTTGAACCACTCCAACACCAAACCCAATGAATCAAATACTATATATATATATAAAAATCAAAAGTGGCATTGCGATACCTTCTTCCATCGTGACACCAAATGGAATCCTATAACTCCCAATTAAATCTATAAAGCAGTTCGAACATTGCACAATAAGAGAGACTAGTCCAAATAGCAAAGTACAAAAACTCAATGGCTTCTCCAGATATGGAAGCCATGACAAATTCAAGCATGGAAACATGATAAGCCAAAGACAGTCAAAATAAACTCGTAAAATTTCAAAATTAGACTCCTTAATCTGGGCCATTAAAGAAGAAATCTCAAGTTGACCTGACCACGACTTAGGATCAGCTCATAATCATTCAGTTCAATCTAAGGTCAAGGAAAGCCTGGCTGTAGATGATTGATCTTGAGCCAAGCAAGGTCAGGCTTATTGAAATAGATATTAGCTTAAAACCGTTTAGATTTTTGATCTATTAAGATAAATTCTTAATCCAACGTACATGCATGAACATATTCATATATCAAGAAACAATGCATAACTTCATAGATGCATTAGTAGAAACATTTACAGAAAGGACCAGGAAGCACTTCAAAAAAAGTCGCCAGGGATAAGGGGCTTCTTGACAAGGCTGATCAAAACAAGAAATATTTGCTTCAACAAGAAACAAGCATGGTATCAAATAAGCAAACATTCAAACATAAAATGTCATCCAGAAGATTCATTCAGACTAACAAATACATCAACAAAACTCGAACAATCCAATAAAAAAAGGAAAACTATAATTGAGAATAAAACCTTGAGGCTGCCGCTACAAGAACAGGGGGTCTCCAAATTCTTGATCTGATCTTCCTCCTGGCAAATGCGACATTCTACCAACTGAATCAATGGCTCATTTTCCTCAGAAACTAGATTTCCCTCCTGAACAAAACCAGCAGCCGATAACTCCCCTCCTTCCACCGTTTCCACCGTCTGCGGGGCTATCAAGCGATCCACATACAACACTAGATGATCCTCCATCTCCCAAAACCCCTAAAATTTCATAATCAGAACAGGAAAATGGTCCTATGCAACCCAAAATTAATAATTTTTTAGGGGCAAAAGGATTTAGCAGAAAAAATTTGATAATAAAAATAAAAAAAACGAGATTGCAGGTAAGCGGCAGCTCACCAAAAGTCTTCGCGCTCTCTAGTTCTATCTCAGCCTCCTCAAAACGACAATGGCGACGAAGACAAGCTCGCCTGCTAGTTTCATAGACATCGAAAGAGGACCAAGTATTAAGTCTCCGAAGTCCCCAACCTCTCGGCCGCCTGACGACCACTTAACGACGTCTGCGCTTCCAGATGCAGAAGTAAACGACGGTTAGTCTTCATTGACGACCTCTGCCACGTAAACGCGGTGTTTTGCGTTACCGGTGATCTCCAAATTAATTTGGAATTTGATGATAGGAGCGCGTCAAATTTCCATTGTATTGACGCTGTAATTTCGGAAATCAAGTGGGTGCTTAAAAGATTTATGACAGTTATAGAGCGTTTAATATCTTAATTTTAGTTTAGAAAATACAAAAAAAAAAAATTATTAGGGGAAAAAAATCACTCAACTTGATCCAATTAGAATAATTAATTGCATAACTAAGAATATAAAATTAAAAAAAATAATCAAATAGAACTTGTAAATGATAAGGCTGAATTTTATTAGTCACATGATGGTAGTTAAATGACAAAAATCAGACGATGATAATTATAATTGTTGATGGTACTTATAAACAACAATCATTTTTCAGATCTCTTAGATCTAAAATCTCCTTTGTATAAAAAAACTGCGATCCAAATTATAACTATTTGAGAAGAAAAAATTTGTACATAGATAATTTATATTGCTCTCATCTTAAAGTAAATTCGGCTAAAAATTTTGATCATGATAAATTCAAATTTTTTTTTAAATAATCATTCATATAACAGCTACAATAAACTAATTTTTACTACAAATAAAAAATAACAATTAAATTTATTTCTAATTAAAAATTGTCATTAAACATTTTTAATCAAATGTCTTTTTCTAAATGGTTTGTTTTCACTATCAAAATTAAGAATTTAAATAAAATTTAAATGTGAATATACAAATAATTTATAATTAAAGATTATGAATTTAAATAACAAGTATTTATAGGACCATTTTGTATTTTTTATTTATATTTATTCAATATAAAATTAAAAAATAAATCTTTTATAATTAAGTATCAAATTATTCATTGATTGTATCAGCACTTAGCCTTTGCAATCAGTCATAGTTCGAATATGAAAATTAATAAATAATATATTCAGTCAGCTCTTGTTTAACGGACCCAGCTTGAGGCCTGATATTATTTATAACTGAATGTGGTTACAAATGTAAAGTAAAACATATGTTTTTTTTTATTACTATTATTATTTTTTATTATTATTTTTTTAGAGGAATCATTTCAATGAATACATGAAGAGAAGAAAAGAGAGACTTAAGTTTCATTTGTGACTGACTTTTTTATTGTGATCTAAAATAATTTTTTACAACAAAATTTTTTAGTTAAAATTATTTTTTTTACTAAAAAACTACCTTAGAAAACAGTGATAAACTCATCCCAAATAAAATCTTAGGCTCTATTTAGAGAATAATTTTCTCAACTTTTTATTATTTTTTAAATAGTAAAAAAATTATGATAAAAAATTTATCATAGAAGACAGATTGTGTGTCTACATCCTTATTGTTGCGTCCTGGAGTATTCGCGGCGGTAGAGAAATATTTAGTTTAACGTCTTAGC